GTTGTTGTTGTTGTTATTGTTGTGGTGATTGCTCCGGTGCTGCAGAGCAGCAGTACCTTCGCTTTCAGAGACATTCGCGCGGCGTCGTCGTCAGCAGTGTCATCTTCACCACCGTTTTCTTGCTCAACTTGATCTTATCGGCATCATCGCCATGCATGCATCGGACGAGACTCAGACAGTCACCTCTGCCGGCTACGGGCTACGGGCTACCCTGAACTTGGTGGTGAACAAGCTATGATGTCCGTTATGACGGTTCCGACCATCAGGGGGGGTGCACCCTCAGCTGTGAACCAAACTCCGTGAAGGCTAAGAAGCTGCCGCCAGCCATCGGCATACCCTCCGACCTGGCCACGCCACGGCTACTGCTCCCCCCAGCCGCGGCCTGAGTGTCCAGGGAAGCTTCGCATTAGAGGGTTGAGTTTGGGGCTTAGGGTTCAGAGGTTAGTCTTGAAAAGGCACCGGAAGATTTGAGTCCTTAAGCCGTCAAGCTCAGGCGAATTAGGGTTTATTCAGTTTGCGCGGTTGAGAGTCTCATGAGCTCATGAAGGTGCCGTTTGCTTCGGTTGAGGATTCCTGGGTGTTTCGCATCAGGCTTCAGGGTTTAAGGATCTCCTTTAGGAAATCGGGCAGTGTGTACAGTGTTCATGCTGTGTTCAGGATTCTTGGCTTGCAGCTTACCCTGGATCTCTCACTCTGGGAGGAGACATCTTGATACAGCACCGCTGAAGGTCCAGGTACGTGGCAAAACCTATGCCACCCATAGATCCATTTCGCATGTTGGGAAAGTCGACACCAATCCAACCCTTGTTCCAGTGCTTGTGGCCCTTCCCAGCCAGATTAACCCTACAGAAGCTTGTTAGTTTCCGAAGCACCGCTGCTTTGCTTACAGTTAAACTGTAGAAGGCTTCTAGTCCTTTGGGACCCCTCGGTTTAGTCCGTCGAGCCCTGAACGCCTAAACCTCACACCCTGTCCTACCACCCTGAACCATGACCCCTCAACCCTAGACCCTAAACCATGAACCCTAAATTCTCCGCCTCAGAGTTCAGGCCGATGCTTTGGCTGTGGAAGCGCAGCGACGGCAGGAGCTCGCAGCTCTGGGTGTGGATATCGAGGCGCTTGGGCGTTGTTTTTGAGGTGTAAGGGAATGACGAGTCATGATTCGTTGTCTTGTTTCTTTCGGTGGCATTGGAGAGTTGGATGTTGATCTAGGCAGGTTTTTTTTTCGCTGATGTTTACATCTCCGAGCTGTTTTGGGGTTCTCTTGTTCGGTGGCTACCCATATTTCTTCGAGCACAAGCTTGAGTTTGGCCCTAGGCAGCAGTCCAATAGTCTTGTCCCTCCATTTTCTGGAGCCTGAGGCTTAACCCACGTGCAGAGGGAACTCATCAGAAAGCTGTCTTTCACTCCTTCTGCCCAGTCTTGATGCTCAAGCTTTCAGGCTTTGGGTTTACTTTGAAGCTTTGTGTTTCAACCCTGAGCTCATTTCTAAGCCGCTCCTTAATCCCCAAAGGAACCCTACGCCGCCCTAAGTATTCCTTACCCAGAGGGTCCGAGTACCCAACTTGTAAGGTTTTAGGTCCCAAAATCCATACTCTGAATGGTTTTTGGACCTTGAAACCTTACTATTTGGGTACTTGGACCCTTAGGGTTAAGGTTGCTGATTATAACTATACTACAAAGGAGCCCGAAACCCTATTCTAACTGTTGAGGCCCCTACCTTACGCCCCACTCTATGTTCTTCAGCCCATGAGCTTCCCGTCCTGAACTAGGGTTTCGGGGTTTTAGAGGTTGGGGTTGAGGGTTGAGGGATGTAGGCCAATGTACGCTTTAGGGGTTTCTAGGGGTTTGGACCTTGAGGTGTGGGCACCAGCGGACGTGGAGGCAGCAACGCAGTTTAGAGTTCAGAATTTCGTATCCGAAACCGTCAGCTCTGTTCAATGGAGTTTAAGATTATAAAAAAGCCCAAGGGCCTAAGCACTAAACCCTGAACACAAAGCCCTGAACCGTTTTGCTTTAGAGTTTACCACTAAACTGGCGAAGGCCTCTGGATGACTTGCTCTTCTAGGGCTTCTGGTCCAGGGCTCACGGTTCAATTTGGCAACGGCCGATCTCCCAAACTTTAGCTCCTAGCTGTCTTAATCTGGTTATGTGTATGTACATTATATATATATATATATATTTATATGTGTGTGTGTGTATATATATATATATATTTATGTCTATATTTATGTGTATATATATAATGTACATAATTACATAGTTACATGTATGTGACTATGTGTGTGTATAATATATATATATATATGCATATTGACCAGGCGTGAGCCACCGCACTTCAGAGTTAAGATAGCCTTCTTAGGCCCGTGGGACATACTTACATGCTGCATTCTTTCATACTGTGCATCGAGCCTACTGACCTGAGGGTGCAGGGACCTGCCAAGGAATGTGAGTTTCACTTCATTTTGGATTCTACGCCTTTTAGATGATGGACTAAACCGCAGAACTTTTTATCTTACATGCAGCCAAAACTGGGAGCCTCATGCTGTAACATGTACCGGCAAGCCTTTACCTTGGCCCTGGGACCTCTGCCGGCCAAGTAAAGGTTTGTCGGCATAGGTCAAGTCGCCTGCGAGTTAAGTCTGAGGTATTTAGGGTCTCCTTGCCGTTATCGTGAGCCTCCCTCCCCTATAGCCAGGACGCAAAGTCAAGTCTTTGACACGTCTGTCATCTGCTACACCCAGTTGACATGGCTGCCACATGGTGGCTTGCAGCAGTTTGGCTTGCAGAAGATGAGGCAATGCACAAGATCCCGCATCCAACCCACCGGGATCCCAGACAGTAAGACTCCCGCTCTCGTAGAGGAATGTTTCGACATCCTACGGCTTTGCTGATCTAGTCTGTTTTGGGCATCCGTCTCTTTATTCACGCACAACTTCGTTGTCAATCCGACTTCCGAGTTTACGTGCATCCTTCATTCACGAAAGTAGCGGCTTCGACACCGAAGTGCTCTAGGCCCCTCGGCTGTTTCAAGGTAGCAGTCGCCTTTGCAACTTCGACTCCAGGGCCTTCCGCGCTGTTTGGCTGCGGGGCCGTATTTGTAGGTTCTGCCTGGCCTCCCGGAGTCTCAGCCATGGGTGCAACTACATCGGCGCCGACTCTCGAGCATGCGGAGAAGCTCCGCAGCGGACTCGAGGCATCGAGGGCTGCCACGACCCCGACGTATCATCGCAGTCACGCCAGCATCGTCCGCTTTGCGCAGTCATAACTTGTAATTGTGATGCTGTGCACTCCAGCTTTGCCGTGATGGTACTGTTCTTTCTGTGCATAAGCAAACAGCACATGTGTTCTTGTTTGTTCGATGGTTCAATCTGTGCATGCTGGGATGTGTGGACTTACCATGCTGTGTGTCTGTCGGGTCGTCGTCAGCTGATTTTCCTTCTCAGCACCACCACTTGTCTACCCAGTCGGCTTCCTGCCGATGATCGGATGCTTCATTACAATCACGTTGCCATAATTGCCATATTCATCAATGCCGCCCGCCACTGTTCTCCGTCCAGATCATCCTTATTCTCGTCGGCATCTTCGTCTACATGTTGATTGTCCTCGTCGCCTTTCCGGGCGCCATGGATTTCATCATCGTTATCAGCAGCAGTACCTAGAGCAGGTCGTCCTTAGCCGCTGGCATCATTTTAGCCTCAACTTCATTCATCATCATCGTCATTATCATCATCATCATCATCACCACCATGGCCATCACCATCATCGTCATCATCATCACCACAATGGCCATCACCATCATCATCATGAACATCATCAATGTCCTCAGCATCTGCAGCTTCTCTGGCACCACCTCTTCTGTGCTGGACATTCTGAGTCTGAGCTCCCAGAAGCTCACAGCCGTGAAGAGACGTCTCAATCTCACAACCTTCACTGATCTGGAAACGTTGCAACCTGAGATGCGGAGATCACCAATATGTGCCCAACCGCTAGCTTGCCTTGTGCCCTCTAGACTGAAACCGATGCCGCGAAACCCGAATGCAGTGAAGCGCATTCCGTAGGGGTTTTGGGGTTTAGGGTTCTTGACAACGCTCCAGCAGAATTTGTCAACTCGTGGAATCAGCTTAGGCCTTATTCCAGCCCTGGCACCCTCACCCGAACTGTGGTGTCCCTTTTTTTGAAAGGAGTGTTGCCTTCATGCCGCGTCTTTCCTAGCATCGGCCGACATCCTCCTCTTTTGCATCTTGGCAAGCCGTGCGTTCAAGGTTTTACAATACGTCCCGATAGCTTCATGCCATAGGCGCTATCGACGCATTGCCTCACCCTAGCCTCAGGCATTTAATAAGACGCAAACCCTAAACCCTACCGCCCAAAACTGCGAGGGCCTGAGCGATTCGGTTTCGGGAAGGGGGGGGGGAGTGTATGCCAAGGGCTCAGGATTTAGAGCTCACGGCTCCAGAGTTGTAAGTTTGAGCTGTGTCGCTTTGGATTTAAGGTTAGGTAGTTATTCTTGTAGCATGAAGCTCCGGGCTGCTTTGCTACGATCCCTGATTCAGAGCAACCCTCGTGCAGTCTGCCCTGTCCGTTCCAACTGTTGCGCCCCGATGTCGTGCTATACCAGGGGGGGGGAGGGGCCTCACGCGCACGCGCGCGCACGCCCCGCCTCTGTGAGGCTATGATCAGGGTTATGTTACTAGAAGGGTACTGTTGAGTAGACCTGTGCTTCTTGGATGACCGCAGGACCGTATCTCCTGCAAAAGACAATATGATCCTGCAGTCCAACTGCGAACTCCTCTTCAGACTTCGATCTGGCTGGTGAGGCTTTGGGGTGAGAATCTGTTCCGAAGTGGTTTGGTATCGACGGCCTCCCCATGTCTCGCCCAAAACCTCCGACCCCGAGTCCTGAATTTTGCACTGCATCCTACGGGAACGAGGTAATGGAGCTGGATGGTCCGCTGACAGCGGCCTCGCGGTGTATCGTGATGTTGCGAAGGCTACAAGCTTGCGGGCTTAAGGCATTTTGGTTTCGGGTTAGTAGATCGGATTCGCTTGTTTTAGTTTTGGTTTTACAACGACGATATCAGAGTGTTCTTGGTGTTCGTCTACCTAAATAGGGTTGCCACATCCTTGGGTGCATTTCCGGAGGGACCTTTTGCCGGAAGCTTGTGCCGTAGATCCCGTGCACAAACGTGCATCGCATCCGGTACTTTCACCGACCCCGCATACTTAGTTTTGAAGCGACGAACACTTCAAAGCAACAGTAGCATAGCTCTACTGGTAGAAATTGTATTCATATGTCAGCAACAATGACCACAACCCGGACCTGTCACAGCAACAAGCAGCGCTGCTGGGCACTTCCACCCACACAGCATTGCCTGGCGCCCTCAATCTGACTTCTCGGATTAATAAGACCGTCGAGAAGGCTTGAAATTAGATGTGGGTCGTCGATCGCAGCCGCAGATGTGAACGAAGAGGACTCACGGTAGATTTGGGTCTTCCCGGTCTAGCTCAGAGTTCTGACATTCTCTCGCAGTACCGTATACACACCGGATCACACATTATGCTCTGCATTTTTTCATACACATACCCATACACTCAGAAGACCGCAATAATTATCATTTAATGAAAGGTCGTACACTTCCCACAGAGCCTCGTAGAAGGCCCCCTTTCGCGTGGCCCAGATCCCTATGGGAGAGGTCTGAGTAGTTCGTACCATTCTTCCGTATATGTGTTTGCCCTGGTATTTTTGTTGGTTCAAAGCCGCCAAAGGCCAGAATCTAATTATTGCATGGGCTTCTACATTCGATGGCCCTCAACCTGTGTGGAGAGGTCCCGGCTTACCGGAACCGCAAGTTGGAGCACCGTGGCATGATAATGATAGTAATAGTAATACCAATAATAATGATAACCGTTATTATTATACTTCGTATTCTTATCCTTATTATTGAAATAAGATTAATGATTTTCATAATTATTGGGGACAGCTCGGGCCAAGGACCTGCTTCGAAGGATTCGATCGGGGGTTTCAAGGTCCAACTTCTTGGCAACTCCAACTGCCGAAGCTTGCCCTGGGTAAGAAAGTCCAGCAACTATTGAAACTAAAACAGAAATGCAAAGCTCCCAATTTCTCAAGTTCCAGGGTCGGGGCCTTCGGGGCTAGGGTTTCAACTCTTCCCTGTGCCCGCCGATACGGGAGCGAATATTCCTGGAACTCTGAAATGTAAACCATGCCTGGGCCTATTGCTGGTGTTTCGTCTTTCAGCCTGTCGGCATCGCAAAACTTCGACCTTTTGCAACAGCCACCGCAGCACTTGAAAATGCGTGTGTTCGTTCAATGACAGACTTATGAAAAGCTATGGGTCTAAAGACCTGGAATCGGGAAGGTCTGGAAGCTGCAGCATACACAAGCTTTGTAAACGTTTCGGAACCACACATGCCAAACAATCACGAAACCTATAAGCCTTCAAGCAGAAGAGCTCCAGTGAGGTATCACGACATCTGCAAGCCACACTGGCTCTACAAAGAACCAGAACTCTTCTGGGGCTTTTGGGGGCAGTGCTGCCCGGCAGAGGAATAGCAAGAGTACTCGAAACCGACTTCATCATCCTAATATTGTCATTTCTTGTGCTACAATAGCTTAGTACTCATATCAGCAACAAGAAGAAGCAGGTCAGCAGCACTGTTCTTAAGTATGTAGAAAAGCACGGCAGCACAAGTGACGAGACGAAGACTAAGAGCTGGACGGTCTTGCTTCTGATGTTTCGGAGGATGTTTCTCACAATAAGTTGCTTGGCAACCTATAGCCTAATAGCCCGAAGCCGAGGGAGAACTTGAATGGCTTCAGCCCTAGAATTATTTGCATTATGCCCGTTGCTTGCTCCGAA